GGGGATGTGGCTCAATGGTAAAGCGCCATGGGTTAAGAAAAAACAGAGTGATAATGCTTCTTAATAGTACTCAAGAGTGATCTCATTATGCTCTGCCTCAGCTCTATATACACATCCAAGTTTGAAATCTTGTCTTCATTTTAAAATATTCCCTTTCCTTTTGTGCATATAGTTAATAATATATAAAATCCTACTGATCTTCTAATTTTTTAAACATGCTCTATGCTTCTGCTTAATTTTGCCCAAAAAACAGAAATATGATTGTTTGAGAGTTTGGCTAAAAATAGGTTTTGTCCATAGTGAAATAGTATGCAACAATCATTAAAAACATTGTGACAAAAATAAATAAAAAATGTTTGTGGGGTAGTGTGGGGATAAGGACAATTGCAAAACAGTGTCTTCTCAATTATAATATATTCACACACATAATATAGTTGGGAAGGAGAGGCTGTATTAGAAGGATCCATGCCAAAATGTGAATAGTACTGTTACATTCTTCTGGGTAAAAAGATTAACTGCTCTGCAGAGAACATTCTCCATTTGATGCTCTCCACAATTACCATTTGTGTGTTCAACAGACAGTATGTTCTACCTCAGATCTTTTCCTCTCCAAAGTCTCTATCCTATTTTAAAAAGAAAAGGAATATATTTAAATAATTATTGAGTAACAATTCTGTACCAAGTGTTATGCTATATCTTAATATGCAAAAATGAACGACATTTTTAAATTAAGGAAAAGTAAAGTGTCTAGCCCAATAGGAAAAAACAGACTGAGAATTTTTAAACTACATAGCTCTGTCATGCTAAGCATATGTTCTTATTTATAAACTAATGCTCCATTAAAGTTGAAGAGGAACAAATGAGAAAGTTAAGCAAAACTTTGTGTAGTATGAATATAAGGGCCAAACAGGAATTTTTAAGGCAAAAAAAAAGATGGAAATACAAAATTCTGAGCTGTGGTTACCTCTGATGGATAGCAGAAAGATGAGATGAGGTCAAAGCAGCCGTTTTGCTTTGTTATTCCTAACTGGCAACTGGATTCAGATATGGTCATCAGATTATCCTTTACAACCTGTCTGTGTTTAATGTACTCTTGTGTTTGTATATTAGCGGAAAAGTAAACTCCCTTCTACAAAAAGTCAGAATCTCCATGATTTATGAAATATAGCTAGTACTGAAATTTGGTTATAAGAAAATCACACCTGAACTTTGCAAAAATTGCTAATATAGACTTGTTTTAAAGAATTTTTTTTAATCAATCACCTACTGTGTCTTCCCAACCCACCCCCTTTCTTTTTTATCACTGAGCTCGCTCCGGAGTCACCGAAAATATAGGCATACAGCCCACCTCGCTTTTAAAAGATTCTTCATGAATTACCATCCCTTTCTGCCAGAAAAAGGAAAAGTGACTTGAATTACATTCTGCTGACATCCTATATGGTATTCCACCCCTGCTTTGCCTTCCATAGGGTTATGCTTTTCGTTCCTGGTAGACTGTAGGCTCCTCAACTGCAAGGAAGAGGAAAACAGGAAGTGAAGACAGATATAGAAATTGCAATGCTAAAACAGCATGGTCACAGACAGCCTCATCCACAGGATATTTAAATACAAACCTGAAGGAAGTAAGGGAGTAACACATTCAGAGATCTGGCATGGAGGTCCTCAGAGAGGGGACTATCAGTGCACAGTCCCTGAAACAGAGACATTACTTCAAGAGAGCTCCAGGGGCTATGAAGTTGGGAAAAGTATTGGGATTTGTGGCCACATGAGTAACAAGATCTTTGTGGACCAATGAAAGGACTTAGGGTTTTACGCTGGAAGGAGAGCCATTGGAAGTTTTCCAGGGGAGAGGCAACCTGGTCTGAATTGCCCTTTATTGCAATCCATTTGGCTGCCACAGTCCGGCTGCAGCAAAATAACCGGGGGGTGACGAATAACTTGTGTAAGTTGGTACAGCAGGAGTGGGAGCCGTTTATTGTAGGACCGGAGGGATATTTATACATTCCACACAGCCTATTAATTAGCATAAACTAGACACATCAGTCAACCAATAAGAAATCTCCACACTTAATGGCTTGCTGGTGTTACATCACAAACCACTCCCTCTGGCATTTTGCCAGGCGCCATCCTGACTTGTTTACAGACTCTAACATCTGGCTGCTCTGGGGGAGAGAGCAAAAGCAGGCCCAGGAGGTGAGGGTTCTGCAAAAAAATCATAAGTGAGAAGGGATGAGAAGGGACAGTGGGGCTGGCTGGACCGGGCCTCAGCAATCAGAATGGGAAATGGTTGGATTCCATTTGTATTTTTAAAATAGAGTTTTTAGTACTTGCTGATGAACTGGATACAGAGTTTGAAAAGACAAAAAAAAAAAAAAATGATAGCATTGTAGCTGACAGGTGAGAATCACCACTCACCAAATCCAAGAGGAGCTGCTCTGCAGAGGTCAAGTCAGAAATGCTGTCTGAGGACTGTTAAGTTGGAAGTGGCTATTGATTGGACTTCAGGCACAGATGCCAAAAAAGTAGTATGGTTTCTGAGACTGGAGTTCAAGGGAAATCTGGGGGCTGTGATTTAATTTCCAAATCAACATGCAGATGATATTTCGATAGCAACAAGTAAACATCAGTTCAACAGAACCAGATTTTCATTTTCAAGATTCATGTTCACAGAACTGCAAGGATTAGTAAAGCTAGGAGAAAAGGCATTAGATAGAGGACTCTTGAGGTGAGTTTCACAAATGGGTTTCAGGAAGCCCAATAACTCCCTGGAGTTGTTTGCAAAATATGTGGGGAAAGAGGTGCACTTTGGAAAAGGCGTGCATGTATATCACTGGATCCTCATAGTAATAACCCCATGGCTTTAAAAGGTTGAGTAAATTTTTCAATTTCATTGCCTATATTTATAACTTAAAGGTATTCTTCCACATCTATAAAGTGGTGATAATACATATTCTACAGAAGAAGCTACAGGAGAAAAAGAATTGATTGAGGAAGCACCTGTAGAACCATCAGTTAGGAATCCACATATCACAAACAGAGCTCATTCAGCCCTTGAATTGCTGCTCTTCATTATCAACCTTCTTTCCTAATAAGTTGCATCTGATCATGTAGCTTCTCTGTTTTCATGTCAATTACGTTTCCAACTCAGACCTTTACCCTAAACTCCAGACTCATACATCAACTGCCCATTTCATATCTTCCTCTTAGATATTAACAACTTTTCAAACTCTGAATATACAAAACTAAGACTAATTCTCTCTGAAACCTGTTTCTTCCTTACTCTTCCCATTTTAGTAACTGGTATCTCCATCCTTGTTGCTATGGCTAAAAATCATTGGAATTATGGTAAATATTTCTCTAGTCCCCTATATCAGTAGCTCAGGGTGGGGGTGGAAGTGTGGATAAAAATATCTGAAATCTACCACTTTTCACAGCCTCAACCACTAACACTGAAGCCCAAGCCACTGTCATCTCATCTGACTTGTTGCAATAGCCTGTCTCCTGGCTTCTACCCTCGTCCTATCAGGCAATTCCCCAGACATGCAGACAGATCATTTTGAAGTAAATCAGATGTTGTCAAGTTGTCTGCTCAAAACTGTTCAGTGGTCTCCACCTCATTCAATGTAAAACTGAAAGCAGTTACACACCAGCCTAGGAGGCCAGATAGGAACTACTCACTTCCATTTGCTTCCCAGACCTTGCCTCCTTCTCCTGCACCCCAGGCAGTCCTACTTGGAACACTGCTTCATTTTCCCATTGTCTTTTTTCTCCGTTCCACTTTGTCAATGAACTTTCTATGCCGCTATCATCTAAATATTACCTTCTTCTTCACACACTGTGCCTTTCTCTGCTTCAGTAATCTCATAGCACTTAACACCATCTAACACACTTTTATTTGCTTACACACCCACACCCAATAAACGCCATAAATGAACATAAGAATATTATTTTTATTCACTTCCACCCACTGCTATAAATATCAGACTATAGAAAATAAAAGTGCTACGACATCCTTATGGAGGTTTCTCCTCAAACCAATGCCTTTGCTCCAATAGAGATTCATATTGACACGCAAGAATCCATCTTATAAAAAGATGATATTCAAAATGCCTTTGTTAGCTTTCTTGATATAAAAGTAGCACCATACAGATCGCTTGCTATGATAAGGGAAAAAAAGGCCTTATTTTACAATAAACTATCACCTTATGCCAAGCATTTATATATCAACTTGCATTTGGATAAACAAAACATCATGTGCCCCCTCATGCGATGTACAAATTTCAAGCAAATCGCTTCTACTTCACATTATAAATAAACGAAGTAAAACATTTTGTAAAGCACTTCCACCAGAAATAAGTCAAACTAATGGAACTTCTGAGGGACTAATCGCAAGCAAATCAATATCTAAAAAAAACAAAAACAAAAAAACAGGAACGCCGAAGGACAGTTTAAGAGCCGAAACAAACAAAAACGTGGTTCACTCTCTGAGCCAAGCATTGTTTGGGATATTTTCTACGTAAACTAAATAGACCTTGAGACTTTGGTTTAAATTAGTTAACAGTAGTAGAGTGTGGGAATTAAACAGTGCACCTAACAAGTCCACTGATGCCTGCACATAAACATGCCCTCATTTCTGTAAATAAGGATGTTTGCGTTTGCTCCTTAACGTCCTATCGACGGCGTAGCCTTAGCGTTCCTCCTTGTAATAAATCGCACTATAACTCCAAGCCGATTGCTGGCCTGCACCTACACATTGCTGCCAGCACCCAGGGCTCTGTGCAGCTCAGGACGCTCCAGGGACACTGTGCACCAGGAGGCAGGGCAGGCAGCCTCCAGACGCCGGCTCCAGTGCGGAGACCGTGTGGGGCCAGCTCCACTTACCTCTTGCGCAACAGAGGACCGCCCTAGCTACACAGGCCTAGGTCAGCTTATACTGCTTACAACAGAACACGACATGCCGTGACAAAGGACGAAATGAAATGCAACACACAACATCAATATGGAAGTAAGGAAGAGCTCTTTTAAAGAAAGCTGTGGGCGGCCCTGAAAAGGGCCTTTGGTTGGTAAAGTTAAGCGATGGCGGCACCAGGACGCTCAGCCGCCAAAGCCGTAGAGGGTGCGGCCCTGGCGCTTGAGCGCGTAGACCACGTCCATGGCCGTGACCGTCTTGCGCTTGGCGTGCTCCGTGTAGGTGACGGCGTCGCGGATCACGTTCTCCAGGAACACCTTGAGCACGCCGCGGGTCTCCTCGTAGATGAGCCCGGAGATGCGCTTGACGCCGCCACGGCGGGCCAGGCGGCGGATGGCGGGCTTGGTGATGCCCTGGATGTTGTCGCGCAGCACCTTGCGGTGGCGCTTGGCGCCGCCTTTGCCAAGACCTTTACCTCCCTTGCCACGACCAGACATGGCTAAAGCGCTAAGGAAGTGTGCCGAAAGCGTGAAAGCAGAGAAGCAATTCCCTTATATGCACGGATTTCGGACCTGATTGAAGACTGAAGACGCGGGGCCTTTCGCCCCGCCTTTCAGAGCTCAGCCCAGATGACGTCACTAACATCCGGGGCCGCCGCCTGAGCATGCCCTCTACGCAGGTCTTTCAGGCGGGCTCTTTGTCCCCAAGGGGGAGTTTTCCGACCTTTCAACAACTACGCCAAACCAAAAAAGTATACACAGCCTTTAGTGGTTATCGTGTGCTTTAGAACAGTTGCGCTGGAGCTTTCACCACATGACCAAAACTGCAGTCTCTGCTATGCGGAAGCCACCTTTGTCCCCGTTACCACCCCTCACTGGAGAGAAAGGAAACGCGCTAGATTGGCTGCATCACCACGCCAAAGAAAACCTCCTCCCCGAAGGCAGAGACACGGCCGGTTACTGACTCGTGGTAAAGGCCCACGGGAGTCCCGGGTTCCATTCCCGACCTACCCTGCTCCCCCTGCTTATTAAAGTCTGACCGCCCTTTGCTCTGCACCCAGTAACTCACCAGTGTGCAAGTGTCTGCGTTTCTCTTCTCCTAGTTGTGTCTTTGATTCTGTAAGCAGCACTCTTCCAAACAATTTGCATCCTATGATCCAAAAAAGGCGATTTCTCTCAAGTCGGTTTAATTGTAGGTGGGCTGAACATATAGCTTATAGACAGTGTTAAGAGTATTATTAGAAGGACGTAGTGACGCAGAGCAGAGTGGCGCAGCGGAAGCGTGCTGGGCCCATAACCCAGAGGTCGATGGATCGAAACCATCCTCTGCTATCCATGGTTTTCTTTCTTTTTCTTTCTTTCCTAATATAAAAATCTTCTAGACTAGTTTCACAATAACTAAGAAAAATGAATCTAGATTTTTAGAGAGGAAAAACAGTCCTGAAATTAAGAACATCTGTCAGGAAATAAATTTGAACTGTTTTGCAATCTTTGCAGATAAACAGAACGTTTTCATGGACACCCAAGTGTACTCTCATAATAAATCAGATTTCTTCCAGCTGCCAAAATGGCCGTGCCATGACAATTCTTTGTTGCCTCCGAAGCGGGGGAAAATGCTGAAATAAACTGAATGCCAAGGACCAGGACGGGGTAGGAACACAGGAATGTAGTTTTGTTTGGTTAGTTAGGGTTTTGGTTTTGGTTTTGGTTTTTGGTTTGTTTGTTTGATTTGTTTTGATAAATAATTAGAAAGCCTTTCTTGCCGAGTGGTTAGGTTGATGATAGACTGTAAATTCACTAAGAGTCACTCTGCAGAGTCTTTGCAACTACCAGACTCCTACCCTTGTGAGTGAGTAGTAGTTTGCAACAGGTGTGGACTTTGGATAGCTACCTTTGAACTCGTCCTCAGAAAACCCTTCTGCCCCTGCCACTGGTAAATGTGTTTGTAATCTTTCTTCCTAGAATATTTCCTGTACAGCCATTCTCTGCCCTTATTTTCTTTAAGCACATGTGTTGTTTTATTTTTCTCTCTGTCTGAAAGGATTCTTGTTCAGATATTTATGTGTCAGATACTGTACTAGAAGCTAAGGAGAAAAAGACGTGAAGTAGCCTGTAGCCTACAACTATTTTTAAAGAAGGAAATATTTTCATTATAATGTAACAGTGGCCCCTTCACCTTCTGCAGCCCTCATTGCTCTAAGGCTTTTTTTTTTTTTTTAATGTTTTTTTCTCTCTTCTCCCCTCTTCCCCTCCCTAACAAGAATAGGGAGACTGTAATCTTTTCTTCCCCTAGTTAACTGCCCTTGAACACATGCACTACAGGAAGGTGATGCCTGCTGAGGATCTGGTAAGTAATTACCTCCCAAATTAAAAAGTGAATCCTAACCAGGGGGCCATCAGGGCCCCCTGGTCCCATCAGAGCATACCTGGAATGTACCCTTGAAGAGTTCTTTAAACACACACACACACACACACACACACACACACATGTCCCTCCTGATGGGGAGAGTCACAGCCTTTGGGAGAGGAGTCCCCTGTGTTTCTCCTTTGCTAGCAAAGCAATAAAACTTATTTTTCTCAAAACTGTGTCCTCATTATTAAATTGGCATTGATAAGCATTGGGGACAGAAACTGAGCTTTGGGTCACAATAGCATCACTTCTTTAAAAGGTTAATGTGTTGAGTGCAGAGGGAACAAGGAAAATTTGTGATTGTCCAGTCATGGCCATCCACTAGTTAAGTGTGGTTTTTTTTGGGGGGAGGGGGGCTCTTATAAAACTCAGCATTAACAGATTAACAGATTAAGATTTATTACAGCAAAGGATAGAATGCAGGAAAATTGGGGGAAATGCAGGTGGCAGAAGGCTGGAGAAGGCTTCCTGTCCTCTGTTATCAGTCAGTAATCACACTTGTGTGCTTCTCTCCAGCTGTTGATAGACCCAGCCTGATTTTCTCTTAAAATTGGGAGCCATCTCGACACAAAGCCATGAAAAGCTAATTTCGGCTTTACTATAAATTACTGCAAATTCTGAACCTGCTTGGAAAATGCCTGCCCATGCCTTGAACTCACCCATGCCTGGCTCTCTCTGACCAGATAGCAGCCCTCTCTGAAACTTTAGTGACGCCTCATAAATCTTGGCCTTCCCTGGCCAGATAACGACCCTCTCTGAGGCTCTAATGACCTTCATAAATTCTGATGATGGGGCCAGCAAAAATGTAAACTATCCTTTGTGTTATGCTCATCAGAGTTTTGTTATCTGTAACCCCCCTTTGTGTAACTTTCTGGGCTATAAAGCTGGGCTACAGGAAAGCTGTGGTGCTCTATTGTTCCCAAGGTTTTTAATGAGAGAGGCAGCCAGGCTGGTCAAAATAATAAGCTCGCTTTAATTTGATTTTAATTGGAGTCAGTGGTCTTTTCTTGTGTCGTGGTCTAACACTGAACTGCAAGGACATTGTCAGTTGCACCTGCCAAGCAAAGTCCACTTGAATATGGAGTCAAAGTTGTTAGAGGGAGCTGGTCACCTAGCTATCACACCAGCCACCATGAATGTTCATGTCTGCTTTAAATATGCTGACAACCTGGTTCATGGTGATTCACTGCTTCAGGGATATAGAATAACATCATTACCCAGTAACAATGTGGACATTCCAAGTATTTAACTTTCAGAGTGTGACCAAGGGTCATCACCAAGGCACTTACTACAGAGTTGAATAGAATACAACACTTTTCCTGTGTAACTTTGCCCTGGCAACTCTCTGTTGAGGAATGTTGGCAGGTTTTGAGCTAAAACTTGGATTGTTAGAGTCTGTAAACAAGTCTGGATGGGGCCTGGCAAAGTGCCAGAGGGAGTGGTTTGTCAAGTAACACCAGCGAGCCATTAAGTGTGGAGATTTCTTATTGGTTGACTGATGTATCTAGTTTATGCTAATTAAGATAAGCTGTGTGGAATGTATAAATACCACTCCTGTCCTGCAATAAACGGCTCCTTCTCCTGCTGTATCAACGTACACAAGTTATTCGTCATCCCCCGGTTATTTTGCTGCAGCCGGACTGCGGCATTGGATAAGTACTTATTAGCCAGAAAGAGCACTCTAGGCAAAAGAAAACACACAGAAACACACACACACACACACACACACACACAAGGAGGCATAAATAATAAATAAATAATTCACAGTAAGGGAGGTTGTGTGAGGGAAAGTTGGAAAGAAGTGAACTGGCTGTGTTGGAAGCACCTCCAGTTCACTCACTGATGCATGAAATGGCCAAACCCGTGACATCAGATAGATGAGATTATACTGGTCTGTCTAGAAGAGAAAGGCCCTGCACACCACCCAGCGCCATTGGGGGTTGCTTCAGGAGGAGGAGCAAGCAGGACTATGAGAGGCAGGTTTTGCAGCAGAGGGAGCTGGCAAAGAAGCCAAATCCATTATGTCAGAAACTGAAAGGGGCACAGCTGATCTTGCTGATAAGAGAACAGCACCAATGGGGAGCTTTCCTGTTCAGTTGGGGGTGGGGGCATATCTAGCAAGAAAAGGAACTGTGGTTAGGCCTCTGGGGGCCCGGCAAGGGTAAAAAATGTCCAGGAAGCTCTTGAATGTTTAGAATTACAATGCACTCTCAAGATATGCAGAGCAGATAAAGAAAGGGCAAGTCACTAAGGGAGTCAGTATGCAATGCACACAGTTTAGGTTTTGTTTTCTATGGACAACTCTGAGCAAAGAATATGATAGGATTCTCTTGGTAGCGCAAAAAAAAAAAAAAAAAACTAGAATTTTTATGGTTTTTATTTACCTTATGATTAGTTTATTCTTCAACAAATCATTTCCCTCCTAAACTGTGAGACGGAGGGTTTGGCACTACCTATATTCATCTATGTCTGACCAAGCCACACTGGTCAGCTCCACTTAATGTTCAATACATCATTTAAACTTCACTGGCCGAGCAAGCTGTCCCTTTGGCAGGCCAGTAATCCCAGTGGCTGGGAACATTGAGGCAGAAAGATGGAGAATTCATAAGCCAACCTCAGCAACTTAGCAAGGCCCTAAGCAACTTGGCTGGACCCTGTCTCAAAATAAAAAGGGCTGGGGATGTGCTGCAGTAGTTAAGCACCCCTGGATTCAATCCTTGGTGCCAAAAAACAAAAACAAAACAAAACAAAAACACTTAACCAATAGATCTTCACACACACTTGACTCTCAAAACATTCTTCCTGCAATCAAATCATTTCCATTGCAGTCAGTGGAAACTTCATTGTTGGGAGGGTGGAGTAGGGGTGGGATATTGAAAATTTATATGGTTCCTCTCACACCCCCAATCCAATCGTCAAACCCTTCAAGAAATATCCAGAAATCAACCACTTGCCACCACTTCCAGCAACATTACCATGATGGTTTAGTGACAGAGGTTCATGTGTCATCTGAATATTACAACATCTTTCAACCAATCTGCCTGCCTCCAGGAAAAAGAGGGAAGGAGAGAGAAAGTCCATAGCTGGGTCCTCCTGGGCACACAGCAACTTGTGAGCTGAGAGGCCTAGAAGAATATCTTCTT